GAGGGAAGGGGTCGATGTTTCGGACCACAAACAAAAACCAATAAAATTGTAATAATCAAATGGAAATTCTCCAACTGTTTCAACTGACTCACATCACATGACTTCCTATTTACTTCCTACGCTTCTCCTCAACTTCTATACTTTATGAAAATGTATTTAACATATTACTAATTAAGTAGTTACGTTTCCATTTTCTGTGGGTTTGTATCGTACGTAGTCCATTAAAAAGTGGATCAATTTTGTTTGTTTAAAGCTAAAAGTTTGCATTTAAATCAGCAATGTATGAAAATGTAGGTTAAAAAATAAATTATATAACAAGCAAAATTTTAAACTTTTTTTTGATGAATTAAATAGCTCCAAGTTGCACGAGTAGCCCCCTCCCTACTCCAACATATTAAATTTATAACTTTACTTTTCTTGCAGAGGCTGTATATACATTCACATGGTTTTTTGTATTTTCTGCGTCCATAATAGCATTAAAAAGAAAAATTAAACTCTAACACATAAAGATATTGCTAAACTCCGAAGTGAGATGCATACAATTGTAATGTATAACATCATTTATCACAAACACAATTTAGAAAATACATATCAAAAAAAAAAACACAATTTAGAAAATGGAACAAAATCTTGCGTATATTCTCTGAAAGAAAAAAATAGAAATTAGTACATAAAAATGAGAATGAGATATGAAGAAGACAAAAACATTTGAAAAGCCGTGAAGGGTTTTGTTGTTTGTACAATCAATAACAACGAGCCTGATCGATGAATAGTTACCAAAACGGCGTCGTGTGGCGATTGAATACAAAGGACAGATAAATAAGGGAGATAATGACATTAAGGTGTCTCGTTCGTACAATGACAGTACTCGAACTCGTTACGGCTTCTTGAATTTAATATCTTGCAATTTAATCTTAACCAATGCACATGGCACATGCAAAGCCGTATATTTTTCTTGGATTTTTTCTTTTGTTTTCGTCTTATTCTTTGAATCCATTTCTTCGCAGCTTCTTTTACATAATTCAATCATGATACAATATAGAGTCTCTACAATATATCTCTTGAAAATGTGCATGCACTATAAGATAACAAAAATCTTGATGTAAAACGACAGATCAAGAAACCCACTCGCTTATAATTCGTAAGTTGATTTTTAATTGTTAATACGTTTCATAACATATTTGTGTTACGTGTTTAAACAAAATTTGATATGCAATATTGTTTGTAAAAAGTGCATTGAGATATGACGAAATAAGGTTCCTAACGAACTGCGAATCTCTTCTTAGAATGAAACCAAACTCGCATGTTCCATCAACGAGATTGGTCACATGGAAACTGA